TATTTTGAAGGGGAAACGTTCATAAATACTCATTTATTCGTAATATACGTTATCTGAATATCACACGGACAATAATTATTGAATTCGAGTTTACGTAATTTCAGACATTTCCCCCATCACATCCCTGCAGTTTATTTTCTAAGCGAACACTCCCACATTGGCGAGTAGCATATATGCATGCGTGTAGCATCGTCCGTCCAAACGATGTACAGTATAATCAAAAACAACATAAGGGGCCTTTTGTCACCTGATCTTGTTATGCCAGTTTATATCGTAGCTTTACCCATGATTCAGTTTATTGTGGTGGAGGCAGAGGTTCGAGAAGCAGGGTTTCGAAGGCAGTGAGTCATAACCTGTGATTATACACAATGAGTCAAGGGACGACTTCAGATGTGATTGTGATCGGAGCTGGGATAAGCGGTACGTTAAATATAGTGCTTGTTTCATGAGGGTACCCTTGTATTTCTTTGAACTCGACACAAGGTTAATATTATGTAAAATAAACACGTTAGTTTCAGTGATTTGCGTTCGCGGAACTGCTTTCGTGAGTGGATATACTATGAGTGACCTTATCCTCAAAGGATGTGGTCAATTGAATTGCCAATAACTTGCGTGTCGGACTATACCATTTAGGTGTGGGGAGGTGGCTGCGGGATAGTTAGCATGATGTGGTTGATTGACAGGTCAACTAGTTAGCATAATGTGGTTGAGTGACAGGCCAATTAGTAACATGCTGTCTTAATTTTATCATGGAACTATAAACCCTTATGGTTCCATGGTTTTATTTTACAGGCTGCTTTTAGGTTTAAAAATAAAGATCAGAGATAGGCTGCTTCTAGGTTTAAAAATAAAGATCAGAGATAGGCTGCTTTTAGGTTTAAAAATAAAGATCAGAGATAGGAAATAATACTGTAAAATGATTAATTTTCACTGGGTTTAAATTTCACTGATTTACCATTTTAGGCATATTCAGTGGGTTTTAAATTCACGGTTTCGTCATTTAGATAATGTGTTCTATGCTAAATTTTACATATTCACTGGGTTTTAATTTAGCGCATTTTCCAGTCAGCGAAATAAGCTAAATTAAAACCCAGTGAATAATTACCCCCTTTACAGTAACTGAAGCCTAAAAAAAGCAGTAGTATAGTGGTACACAAACACATATTTAACTTACACAATTTAATTCAGAGGGAAACCGAAGCCCAAGGAAAGCAGTAGTGGTACATAAACACGCATCTGAAAAAAAGTCGAATTCCCAAGACGACAGTAGTGGACGCAGACTTACAAAAAGCCCGCCATTTTATGTTAATTACCAACGACAAAGGATCACGAGACGCGGTCAGTGAAACCTATGAAAAGCAGTAGTGGTACACAAACACACATCTAACTTACACAATGTAGAGGGAAACAATTCGATGGTGTTATTATCTCACCATAAGAGAAAACAAGTCGAATATCTAGGACGACAGTGGTGGTCGCAGACTTACAAAAAGCACGCCATTTTATGTTAATTACCAACGACAAAGGATCACTTGCGGGTCACAGGACGCCGTCACTGACCTCTACCGGATGTCATCAATACGCAACACACAACATAAGAAATGGACATATAAATAAACTCAATGCATATGCATGTATAAAAACCAAGATGTAAGATGAATCAAAAACAACTTTTCTAGTATCTTTGGGTAAATGTACGATTCCTCGATTGTGTCTCACCAAACGTAGTCAGATATGAATGAGCCCGTCATTTTAACGCCATAAGTAGTGTGAAATTAAGTGCGAAGCAGGGCGCGGCGCTGGGCGGCAGCGTCTGACGCGCCGCCTCGATTAGCAAGCATTGTTTGAGGTGTTATATTCTTTGTTGGAGGTGTTGCATTCTTTGTTACATTCATTTTTTTTTCAATCATACCGAAAAGGCAAGTTATTTTCACGGAAAAATTCCGCCAAAGACATTAATAAACAATTGGTTGAAATAGACGAAAGTTTATTTTGCCACAAGTGCAAGCATCATCGCGGAAGGGCCCCAGCTGAAGAAAGATGGGTGTTTGGTATGGTTTTATAAACCATCCATTGGTTATATGCAGAACGCCGTGATGCCGCCACCCTTCTTCCAATAATCCAAGACAAGGTTGTTCCTGGGACCACTATCCATTCGGACCAGTGGGCAGCCTACCAACAGCTAGCGAACGACGACCGTTATTCATATGCCGCCGTTAATCATAGCTGCCATTTCGTCGACCCAGTCACCGGAGTCCATACTCAGGCAGTTGAGAGTTACTGGAATAGAGCCAAGGCAAAGCTGAAGAGAATGAACGGAGTGTCCAAAAGCATGTTTCCTGGGTATTTGGACGAGTTCATGTGGAGGGAGCGGTATGGAAGAACTGACGACGAGGCATTAAAAAATTAAAACCATTTCGATACGGCGTTCTAAATTAAAACCATTTCGATACGGTGTTCTAAATTAAAACCATTTCAATACGGCGTTCTAAATTAAAACCATTTCGATACGGCATTCTAAATTAAAACCATTTCGATACGGCATTCTAAACTAAAACCATTTCGATACGGCATTCCAAACTAAAACCATTTTGGTACGGCATTCTAAATTAAAACCATTTCGGTACGGCATTTAAACAAAACAAACCCAAACAAAACGGCCCTTTTCAGGGCCAAAACATCCTCCAAGAAGGGATATACCGTAAAAAAATGACACATAATCACACACATTATTTGTCTCAATAAACATATTTTTTTTTTAGCAAGCGTTTGCCCTGAAAGAGAGATAAAAGTAAATGATTAGTACTTGAGTAAGTGCGAACAGCAGTGATTAACGCAAGCTAGCTCCTCCCCTTCTTTGAACACTCAACCACCCATTCCCGCAGCCACCTCTCCCACACCTAAATGGTATAGTCCGACACGCAAGTTATTGGCAAATCCTCAATTGTACTACTATATATTGACCTGTCTACCAACCCACGAATGTTGCAACAGTTCGTGTACTTTGTGCGGTACCACTACACACGTACATTTATATATACTTGTGATTTACACTTTGTATATACAATTTAATTGTCGTTGTGTCAGTTGGTGCGCTCCAACTTCTTGACCCCTGTGAAAAAACAACTATCACAGACGTATGTGTATATAAAACAGTAGCACAAGTCGTAAATCGTCCCAACACAGGACATGAATGCGATTGGAGTATACATAATATTCACAGTAACACTGATCACTGCACATTCTACTACATTAGTTCCCTTTAGGATAAGCGTAAAAAAAACAAAAAAACACTGCTAGTAATTCTCGTACAAGTTTGTGTTTTCTACGAGTGCACGATGCGGAAATAGACATGAATTCATAATCATTTATTTCTAAATAACTGATTGCGGACACAGTGGCGGCGGCACGGGGGTCGTCCCCCAAAATCAAGCTGAAACCCTTGCATGTCAGCAAAATTTGTCTCTCAAAATGCAGAAATAGCGTTTCAGAGGGTCTAGATTTAAAAATTGAGCAGACCCCCCCCCCCACACCACCATGCAAAATTTTGTGCCGCCGCCTCTGCGACACAAGTAATATGTCTGTAACAACACATCGATGTAGAGTCGGCGTAACAGTTTTATGACGAATCGAGTGATTTGAACTGTTCAAAAGAACTATGGATTTCAGTATATCT